TACAAGCTTCATTTGAACATAAATTTGAAACTTGATCTAATGTACATTTCAAATTCAATTTTGCAGAATAAAATTATTCGTGTTGATCGAGGGTACGTATTAGTGGTAACATGTTAGTGCAAGGATAGAACATCTAGCTAATATCCTAAACTAAGAACATCATCCCTACAATGGCTCCCATAAGAAAAACTGATGTTGTTGATCTAGAGAGTATGAACCAAATCATAATAGTAACTATGAGTATAAGGCATAGTTTCTTAAATTTCCTTATCTGGGTTGCTCCTCGTTGATTTGGGTTTGCATCTCACTGATTTGGACTTGCTTCTCACATGTGTCTATCAATGCTTCATCTATCTTCTCTCTCAGTGGTCGATATCGATCATTTAGTTTACGTAAATATTTACGAGATCAACCCATATTCATGTGTTGCAAGAGAATCCTATCTCTATGTGTGTATAGATAATCATGTGAGCAACGAGAACATATGTCAAATTATAAACATAGAGGGGTTTATGTTACCTTGCTTCCACGACTAGCACAAGCAAAGAAGTCTCAATTTAGATTCCTAGGTTTGTGTGAGGTTCTTTAAACAATGGAAAATTTGCGTCAACAAAGTAGCATGAGTTGCCCTCCAGATTTTGGTGGTGGTGGTGGTGGGGGGGGTGGAGGATGTCACGTGTGCAGACCACAACACCTAGGAGCTTGGGAGCCCCTTTTTGATTAGATTAGGGACGAAGAAACGATCGAACTTCACACAGATGCACCAGGAGTTTTAACCCGGTTCGGGCCGTTGCGAAGAGTGAAAGCCTATGTCCTACTTGGTTGTTTTTGATGTATTGAAGTTTAGAATAGGGGTACAAGTGCTCCAATTCTGTTCCGGGATTGTCATGGCTAGGAAAGGGGAATGAGTATGAACTAACTAGCTTGCAGTTTTTCAGAATCCCTTCTCACTATGTAGCTCGAGCTCCCGTTTTATAGTTCAAGAGGAAGCCACGGTAGTTACAAGGTAATAAATGGGGCATTTATGCCATTGGGGGACAATGCACTATGGCAGGGCACGCCAAGTGTTGTTCTGCCAGTCTTGCCGGGAGCGGACGCATGTCCCATCCGTCGTTGTTGACTTTGGTGTCCTCCATTATTCCGCACACCATGAGGTGGCTTGCATGCGCAGGAACCTTGCAGGGCGTAGTCATGCACGAAACTTGGTCGCCAAGGAGGCTTGTGCATGCATGCCAGCTTAGGGCATCTCCAATAGTTTGTATGTTAGTTTGTTGGTAAAATATGTCATGTCATCAACCAACACCTTAACATACAACAACTTCAATGGGTTGTATCTAGTTTGCCCAATAGGATGTGAGATAATAAATGGGGTGCTCTCTCATTCTATATTGGAGCTTGTGCAATGGGTGTTGGTTCATGTACATACAACCTTCCTCTCTTTCCTCATTTATTGTATGACACATCATCAAAAATCCTATATGGCAAAGTCTACCAACAACTATCTTACAACCATTGAAGATGCCCTTACTCCACCCTATGTTTTGGTGCTACAAGCCTAGTCTGCCACCCTGTGAGCCGTCCCATCCCGCGCATGCCATCCACTAGGTCATTGGCGGGGCTCTGGGTGCTCACAGGAGACGAGTAGCGAGGTTGGGCTCCTAGGAGGGGAACCCATCCCCGGCGAAAAACTTGGCCTTGGCATAGTTGGTGCTGCCAAACAAACCGCTCTCCAGTGTTCTCATCTTGTTGGCGCGAGCCTTCGTAAAAAATGGTTTCCTGTGGCCTTAGTCTTGATGAAGATTTGCATCCCATCCGAGGAGGGCATGGGCTTGGTCACGTAGGCCAGCAACCTAAGTTGCCTGTCGTTGGGGCTGCTGTAGCACGCAAGATGGTCCGTGGGGAGTCCGGTCTTCACGAGGCCGACAAAGGGCCCCGCCTTCCGTGGTGTACGATTTGTGAGCGCATCTAACGGAGGTGCTGCTGCAGTGCGATGATTTTGCAGACATGGGGTGCGTTGTGGCCGAGTCAACAAGAGTGACAGGGAGCTCGGCTACGGCGGTGGTGAAGGAGCTCGATTCCAGTGCATCAGCTGGTGTGGGCTTGCGCATGTTACTCTGACGACATCTCAGAGCTCCGATGACTCCGTTCCTAGTACGATGGCGACGACGAAACTGGTTAATTCTGGTGCCGACAAGGGAGGACAAGGTTTGGGGAGGGCAGTGGGACTGTTGCCGGGCGGGAGGGATATGACGTCGAGTGTTTGTCGACAGTGGCGGGATGGCGCCGGCACGACACGGGTTGGATGCCGAAAGAAGGTCAGGCACTTGTCGAAATTTATTGAGACTTGCCGCTCTTGAAGCAAAAATGAGCTAGAAGAGTCGTATTTCGAGGATGGAAACCTATAATTCCGGGGGACTAAAATTTATGAAGGATGTGCTTATAATTCTCCAAACAACGAAATCTTGGAAGAAAAATGACTTTGGTGGATGGATTAGAGATGCCCTAATAATGTTGAATGTTAGAGATATATTTGGGATATATGTATTTGGTAGTCTAGGATTTGTATTCTGTCTCCTACCTTATCTTCAGAAAAGGCGTCTTGACCTTCAGGTCTTGTAATCAATATATACTCGTTCTTGCGGCTCAATAATACATCCATCATATTCCACCAATCCTCTTCATCTATCCCTTCTAACATGGTATCAGCCTAACCGATCCAAACCTTAGCCGCCGCCCTGCGCGCCGCCCTCGGGCCGGTCAACCTCCAAGACCGCCGCCAAGGGCTGCGCCACCTGTACCTAGGGTTCGTCCGCCGGTCATGTTGACCTACTGCCCTAGACAGTCTTTTTCTCGAGCCCTTACTCCGGATTTTTCTCTCTCTCGCCGATCATCTGAATCGACGTTTTTTTGGTCTTTCAATCTACGGTCGGTTTACATCGCCCGTCGCCGCCGTTGACCCCCGCGCGCCTCTACTCCAACCCCGACGCGACCGGCTCCTTCACTGACCCGGCGGCCTCGCATGACAAGCGGCCCGTCCTAGCCGTCGTCCGGGCGTCTACCAGCCCGTCACCGTGCACCGCCCGTCGCCGCCCTGCTCCGACCGAGACCTCTCCATCGCAACCGCCTCCGCCGCGTCTGCACGGAGGCCCTGTGGTCTGCCTCGCCAGCCTCGTCCCCGGCTGCGTCGCTCGTCGGCTGCCTCAAGCTCAGGCGATGTTGCTC